ACCCATGATATTTTTGAACTTTCTGTTTTGGAGAAAAAACACTTTATTCAATAGAAGCTTTTGCACCATTATTTAAATAGAGGATATTACATGGGTGCGCGGAGATACAAAATTTATCAATCTTTGAGTGTTGAAAAGATCTCTCACGAGTGAGTGATAATTATTATATAATTATCCATAAAATTAACTTAACAAGCTTTTTAAAAATAACATGTTATTTTTGCATAGGTATTTTATGGATAATTCTATGATAATAGCAGCAATTACAGGAGGCAAAACAATAGAGTCTTCTTCCCTTGGGAAACTTAGCTTTTTCTAATGTAAATCAGATTAGATCAGATTCAATATATTGTTCCTGCTTCCTGTTATGGATGCCATTACATAATAGTGGCTCTGCAACAAGGGACTGGGCTGATCAAAGGCAGGACATGGCTAATTTACAGAATAAGTTGGAATTTAGTATGTTAGGTTTTGTAAAGGGAAGAAAATTGGAGAACCAAGAGAAAAACTCTTGAATCAATAGTCCCCTTCACAGTTCCTGTGCCATCTTGAAAGGTAGCTGTGCCTTTGAATCGAAGCGAGACGAACGGTGAGCTTGCAATGACAGAGACCTTTTTTCAACACCTTGGACAATCATGCACATGTCTCATGCATGTGTGATTGGAAGTTCAGGAATTGAACCTGAGACCCCAGAGGTTGGATTCCTAACAATACATCAGACTATATGTCAAGGGTAAGTCACTTGTACTTACTTCATGACACCTGGTGGTGGTGGTGGAGGCGGAGGTGCTGGAGGAGTGGGGGGAGGAGGTGGAAAAGATTTCTTTGCATCGTCAAGGCTTTCTTGGAGAACTGAAACTTTGTTATCAAAAAGGAAATAAATAAGTTGTGTACAAATAATGAATGGATAGATGGATAGATGGATGGATGGATGGACTGATGGATGATGGACTGACGGACGGACGGACGGACAGATGGACTGACGGATGGATGGACGGATGGATAGATGGATGAATAGGTTGAAAACTAGACGGATGGGTAGGATAATAAGATAGTGGACAGACAGACAAATGGGTAGATCTAATGTAATATACAGACAGACAGATCCATATCCAATCTACCTCTATGTTCAGCTTCTTTAACCTTCTTCTCTGACTCTATCAATTGATTCTCTAGATTCTCCACTTCCTCTTGAGCCAGTTCAAGTTTATTCTTTATTCCTTAAATTTGTAAAGCCACATTAATAAGACATTATGCTTGTAGTTAAATCCTTCAAAGTCATGACCATAGTACTGCAAAAATCCTCGTTTTTCAATCCTTCAGGTTTTCAAACTCTAGTTGGACTGATTTTTCCTGTTATTTCAGTCATGAGAGGGAGTAGGACTCATTCAAATAACCCAAGGTAATGTGTGGTGAAATGTGGTAAATGTAATCTAACTGGACAAAAGGAGATGAAACCGGAGTTTAAGGACAGCTGAAGAATCATGATCATGATAGAAGGAATTTCCCAGACGTAATAGGACATTTGCATGATGGTGTCATTGACCTCTACTACCAGACTCACTTGCACACTTTCTTTTGTTCAGTCAATTAGCAACAACTGTCTTACTATTCTCACCCTTAAATAAGAAAGAACATTTGCAAAGCATAATGGCAGTGGGAGTCAATCCTGATCATGGAAACGTCCTATTACATGATTATATCGTATATTGATCTACCTTTCAGATATTCTCCATCTTTTGATGATAACAGCTCTTCTTCCATCTCTTTTATCTGAAGGGAAAAAATTTTTGAATGTTATTTCTCATATCTATCTTTTATTCTTTCTTTCTTCTTAATCATTCTTCCATATTTATTTCCCATTTCTATTTCCTTCCTTCTTCCTTCCTTTCTCATTACTTTTCTCTTTCCTTCTTTTCCATTTTATTCATTTCTTCTTCTTTTCATTCATTCATTTCTTCCCCTTTATTTTATCTATTTTCCCTTCCTTGTAATTCTTCCTCCCTTCCTCTTTTCTACCTTTCCTTCCTTCTTCCTTTTTTTGCTTTATTTTTTCATTTTTCTAGTCTCATTCATCTGTTCTTTCTTCCCTTTCTCTTTCTCTCTTTTTCTTCATATCTGATACATATGTTTGATATACCTTTTCTTCTTTCTCCCTTCTTTCCTCCTCAATCTGTTTGTTCAGCTTTGTTATTTCTTCAAATGCTTTAGCCAGCCGCTCATCTTGATCTGCAGCCTCCTTCAGTATCAAACGTTTTCTTCTTAATTCTTCATCTGTCCGTTTAGACTACCAGTAGTTAAAGGATGGATGGGAAAATGGTAATTAAGATGTTAGAAATACATGGGAAGGGAAAGATAGTGAGCAAGAAGATTTATAAAACACAAGGGAGGGGAGGGACAATGGGCTAGAATATGAAACACCAAGGGGAGGGATAGTCATTGAGAAGATATGACAAGATGGAGGGGAGGGACAGTGGGCTAGAGGATGAAACACCAGGGAGGGGAGGGACAGTCAATAAAAAGATTAAACACAAAAAAGGGAGTGAAAGCATGAGTGACAAGGTCAAACACAGGGGAAGGGAGGGACAGTTGACTAGAAGATAATACACATTATTATCATCATCATCATCATCATCAT